CTACCAAGCACATATGTGGGGACCGTAATTCCTTCTATGAGTATACAACTCAGTCTAAAGGATAGCAAGTTTTCATGATAAACTCACAAACTTTAAAGGTCATCAACAAAGGAAATGTGCTCCTGAAACTGACTTCAAGAAAAATCCTAATGCTGAATGATGTGCTACATGTGCTACAACGGTGGCACAGGAAGACAGGGGGGAGAGAGAGCGAAAGCAAGAGAGGAGGAACCACTGCTATTGCAAGTTGCAACGACGGTGGTAGAAATATAGGAGAGAGGGGGGGGAGAGAGAGAGAGAGTGAGATAGTGTAGCGACGGACCTAAGGTGGAGCTTCATAAGTCACTGCGAAGGTTCGATTCAAGTTAAATGAAGAATAAAAACATGTAATATTAATTTTTTTTGAGGGCATTTATGTTTTTTATGCACCTCTCAATTACGTCTGAACGCATAAGTGCTAGGCTATTAACTTAAAATTTCAGATCTGAACAAATATTTCAGATCAATTTTAGACGCAATACCAAATGAGTCTGATGTCTGGAAAGCAAGTTTTACAAACACCAAACCTCTAAAAAGTGTTATCAAACGGGACCTCAACCTCTCAACCCTTAATGATCAAACATTGCCCGACAATGAAGGACCTCTCCCCTGGTTTCAAGGTGCAATGTTGCACTCTCTGCTCGGATGGGTCCCGGGAATTAAAACATTTTTGCAAACATTTTTCTTGAAACATAATGTGTATATATTATCATATAAATATGTTTTGCAAAACAAGTCTCGAACAAGTTTAAAATCAACTGCCGTCAATTTTGGTTTATATCAGAGAGAGTGCAATCTTGATCATTCATTTTGTCTGACAAAGGGGCTGATCTTGTCACTATGATCACCACTCGAGTGAATTCTCAGACTGCCCCAACATGGTCATGTTTTGACCCCCAAAGGATCTCACTGATTGGCATATCAAAGATAGCCCAATCCGACAACTAGTGCAATACCATAATCGAGTCTAGGGGTTATGTGTAACTTTTCAATTTTGCCCACCAATTTTTAAGGTCCAGGGCATAACTAGAAATTGGTTCGGGTTTAGTGTTTCAAACAAACACACACTGCATGTGATTTGGGTCTAACATTGGCAGTTGAGACAGACTGCCCCAACATTATTGGCAGCACATTAGTGTTACATTCTAAACTACCACGAATCTCGTAAGTGTTTAGTTTAAGGGTAATTCCACATAAACACACCAAATATAACATGAATCAATTAAATACTTTTATTCATTTACAATAAATGGATGTGTACATCAATCTGATTGGAGCTAAATGCATACACTATCTAACAAAAATATCTATTCAAAACACAAAAAATCAATAGGTTTAAGAATATTCATGTTATTTATAAATCAATATTTTTACAAATTTCATCATGAAATTATGTAGTAACAATATAAATTATAATTTCACGAATTATTCAAATAATAAAAATTTAACATTAAAAAATAAAACATTATTTAAATATTTTAACAACTAAAAATCTTAAAAAACATTAAAAATAGTTAAATAATATAACAAAATATTGAATATTACTTAATAACATTCAAATAATGAAAATTTTTAAATATTTTACAAATTATTTATATATTTAAATAACAAAATATTTAACATGAAAAAATTAAATAGTTAAAATAACGAAATTATGTAATAAATTAAAAAAATTCTTAAAAGTGGAAAAATAATTATAATAGAATTCATAATATTCATATTAATAATAATTTAATATTTTACAAAATTAATAACGAATTATGTAATAATAGTACAATTATAATTTTATGGATTATTATATTTCATATTTCAAGAATTTAAATAACAATATTAATTCAATAACTAAATAATATTGTAAATAACTAATTTAACTTATATCAATTAATAATTATAGAAAATAACTATCAATAAAATTATATTTATTAGTAATAATTTTACAATAGTAGTGTATATTCATTATATATTTATATATACTATAATTAATATTTATTTTATTTTTAGTAATTATTTATTATTTTTATAAATATGTATTCAATAATTATTTATAAATGTTTTTTTTTGTTACTTATAGAAAATTATCAATAATTATTGTAGATTAAAAAAAATATTATTTAACTTTTGAAATTTCATTTATCGTATTTATTGTATTTTTGTTATAAATTTATTTTTAGTAATTATATATTTTTTATAATTTATAGATTAATACTTATTAGAGATTAAGCTTTTATTTAAGATTACACTATTTATTGACTAATTTAGTATATTTTCAGTATTTGTTATATTTTTGTAATTATTGTATTTTTATTATATATCTATTATATTTTCATTATAAACTCATTTTCAATGATTGTGTATGTTTGCTATAAATTTTCAAAAATGATTGGAGATTAAACTATTGTTATTTATTAGATATTAGACTATAAATTTAGTTGAAATTATGAGTGTTCAATGATTGTGTATGTTTGCCAATCAAATTGATCTGGTCAAGTTCGTAGTTTGTCACTCGAAACCAATTAACAATTAGTGAAAATCCACCAACTCGGGTTGTATCGATTTGGGTTTATTGTTTAACTTTCGCTTAACAAAGCATGGATCCCCGTCACCATGCCTCTCATTGCTCCATTATCTCCATTCTGCATTCTCTTTGACTTTCTTTTCTCTCCCCTTCCCACCACTCCCATTAAGCCATGTCATCTAACTACCAAAAAATATTCATATAATCTCTCTCCTAAGGTATCTCATTTAAACTAATAGGAAAGTATAATGTTGACTCATTCCCTAATCAATTCCTAAAATACATCCCCAATCAATATCCATTCTCCCTCATTTAAAATATTCTTATTAATTAATAAATAGTTGAATACGGTTAATATTTAATCCCACCCATATTCAATGAGTATTAAATAGTGTTATTACCAAAAGTTAATAAATATGTTTTGTAAATTACCATAAATTAAATATTCTTATTAATACGGTTAGTAAATTACAAAAAATTAATAAATATTGTTATTAATTAACTCATTAACAACATTTTATAGAAATTGAAAACTCTTTAATTAATTTATATAAAATTGATAATTATATTTAATAATTATAAAAGAGTATAAAATTTTAGTTATTGTTATTATTATAATTAATAACCAAATACAAATAGGGGTACAAAATACTACAATGTTAGAAAATGAAATTATTAATTATTTTATATTGAAAAATAAAAGATAAATTAGTGTAATTTTGTTAGTAAACTACCAATAAAAAAGTATATTTAATAACAATTTAAAAAATTTTCAATAAATCCCCATAGTTACACAAATGTAATATTTTTTTAAAAAATTTTCATAAAATAACATTTTTGAAATTAAAAGATATAAAGTATTTGAAAGTTTATTTAAAATGCATTAAATAATTATGAAAAATTATTAAAATATTTTGGAAATTTTAGGAAAATTTATTACATTTTATAGATTTTGAAAAACCATTAAAAATTTATGTAATTTTCATTGCAAATTATTGAAAATTATTAAAGATAAATGACTATGGGAAATGGAAAACTATAATTTGAACAAATAATTAAGATAAATCAATACAATATTGGAAAAAGAAAATTATTGGTTAGTTTATATTCGAATTTTTAAGATAAATTAGTACAACTCTATAAGTAAATCATTTAAAAAGAGAATAAATTATTTCATAAAAATTTAAATAAATTTTCAAATTTACACATGTACAATAAAATTTTCATAAAATTATATTTTTGAATATTAAAGACAATTTGATCTACTTTTATAAATTTACCATGTGTTTGATACTCAATATATCATTTTGATAATTTCTATCATCAAATTGAATATTGGGCTGACGATGATAGTGTTTTCAAAATTGGATCAAACTAGATTGTTAGACCGGAAAGATTGGGAACTGGACACCGTTTCACCTCAAAACCACTCTTTGTCCAAAAATCGTTTATTTGGTTAGTAAACCGTTGACTTGGGTGGTCGAACTGTCAACCTAGACAACAATTTTTGGCCTTTTTTGTTTTTTTATTTTTTTGTTAGAGCGGGTCATCCATTCGAACTGAACAATCAGACCGTTTGACCCCGAAATGGTTCCCTATCCAGTCCAATTTTAAACACCTTGGACGGGGAGTGGAATTCCTTGCGTTGAGCTTTGCTTGGTGTGCGGTATGGCCTAGCCCATGGCCCGACCCATGGACCAGCCTGACCCATAGCATGGCATGGGCCTGTGTGGGTTCAAGTCGTGGGCCATGCTGAATCGACCCCCTCAAATTACTGGGGATGAGGCAAGGAAATTCGAAGATTCTCCATCCTTGATGCCTGAACTCGCCCAATATCGAGGAGTGGTTACCTTGCCCTGAACCCGCGTGACATTGGGGACAGAGTGGGGATAGGGTAAAGTGTCTTAACTATGGGGCAGAGAAAGGGATAGGGTGCCCTGCCTTGAACCCACCCCGTTGTCATTCCTATATAACTGTTAATTATTAGTGGAATTAATAAAAATATTAGCTTTTATAATTATTTTTATTTATTTAAAATTAATCAAAATTTCATTTAAAATAATAAAAAGAATAAAATTATTAAAATTACTACAAATTATTAATAAAACCAAATTTATTAAAAAATATTTATTCATATTCAATTAACAATAATTATTTTTTATAAATCAACATTAAATGAAAAATAAAATTATTAAATCTTTCGTAATTTTCCGTGCATCGCAGCTAGTTTATCTTATTATTCATAACAGTCGAATGTGTGTGTGATGAACAAATCCCAATTCGGATCCAACCCGATTCAAGTTTCACTCTAAGCACCGATGCGATGCCGAAACCGATACTTGCCTTGCCTGACGTAGTCACGTCCTCAGTCCTCACCTCTCTTGCACGTGACACTCAACTTATGTATATATATATACTTGACGCAACAGTATAACTACATAGAAAAACTAAGGAGTTTAGCAAAACAGAGGGAGAAAGAAAAAGACCGCCAGGCCTGGGTTCTCTATCTTCACTGTTTAGAGCTTTGTATGCTGTCGTCTATCTGCTTCTACTGCTGAAATCATGGCAGCAGAGGCGTCGAGATCTAGTGGGTCCGCCGATTCTTACATCGGCAGTCTGATTAGCTTGACATCTAAGTGCGAAATCCGATACGAAGGTGTCCTCTACAATATCAACACCGAAGAATCTAGCATCGGATTGAGAAATGGTACCCCTTCGATTCATAGGGTTTTCGCTTGCTTCTTAATTTGTAGTATTTTTTGTAGCGTTTTGAGTTCTCGGCTTCTAATTTGATGGGTTTTAGGGTCTTCTATCTTAGTTAATCTGAAGTTGGACCTTGTGTTTTTGGTTTTGATTATTGCTAGACGGATTGAAGTTGCTTCGAGGGTTTTGCTTTAATTTTGTTATCCTTGATTTGTTTTGGATTCTGGATTTTGGAAATTTAGGGCGCTTTGAAAAACTTTCTCCCCGTTCGCATGGCATCCGCATATAGATGAAGAGGAAAAAATTCGCTTCCTTTTCTGATACTACTTCTCCGTCTTTGAATTTCATGGAAATTGCAGTCACTTTCAGGCGTTTCCCCCTTCTATCTTCTTTGTTGGGATACAATAAAGACTATTGACTCTTGAGTACCCTTTAGCGTGTCTTTGTGCATGTTCCTCACGCACGCGTGCTACAATTTATACTAGAATCATCTCAATTTCGGGTATGATTTTGAAGTGTGGCAGTTTTCAGTCCTTTTGGCTGTCCACTTCCTACTGGTCGGGTCGTATGACCATAAAATTTGTCAAAGCTGCTTTGCATATGTATAATCGGTGTTTCATGAACACAGACACGGGAGTGGAAATTCAACACACACGTCCAAGAGTCCGACTCAGAAAGATGGGAAAACATGGACTCTCGCGTCTATGCAAAACTATATGCTATTAAACTAGTTCATATATATATATAATTTTAACATTATATGCTTGCAAAAAATGTTGCCTTTATTACCAAGCATGCTTGATATGAAAGAATGGGTTTCATCTTTCTACGGTAGCTGTTAGTTTATGTCAAATAAACTAAAAGATAAAAAAAGAAATGTTAGTTGACATATTGCTTGTGAATCTGATTGATAAGAAATTGTTTGACAACTATACATCTCATTGAATGGCATTGGTACTTCGCAGAGCATGTTGTGACTACGAGTAGTAGGCAAAATAGCAAGGCCCTGTTTAGATTATTTTTTTAGATGTGTAATGTATGAAGTACTTTTGTGTCTTTCAAGGTAAAACCTAGTCTGAAAACACTTCTGGTGTTTGGATAAGCATATAAACACGAAGCTAGAATTCATAGCTTTGTGTTTTAGTTGGTCACATGTGTTTCACATGACACTTCTTTTTCATTTCTTAGACTGTTCTTTTGCTCCCTAAACCCCTAGCTGAATGAAAAATTTGTGAATGACATGTCATTTTGAAAGTACAAAAATAATGCCATATTACATGTGTGTCCACATGGCATATTTAATGCAACAACATAGCCTTTAGAGGCTTCCAAAATGCATTACTGAATAATTGACATGTCATATATGTATGTTCTGATGTCAAAGCATGGAAGTAGATTATTGTATCTAAAGGTCTATTCGTAATTTTTACCATGAAAAGCATGTTCTGAAAATACATTTTACCAAACAGGTTTCACAGTACAAGGTATACAATAAAATCCCTAAAGCAGGTTATTAACACAAGGACAAAAGTCTATCCAAACACAGCCTAAGTTAGGAATCATTTTTGTTTCCAGTCCTTGCTAAAGGATTGCCATGCCATTTGGTTGAGTTAATAACAATATTGTATTTCAGAGGAATGAAATATTACAAGAAGTTTATTTTCTTTGGGTGGGCTAAATGTTTCTTGAGAAATTGAGTATAGAAGTGTCTTAAGGAACATAAACAAAGAGAAAAAAATATTACAGAAATTTCTCATGTTATCCTGCTATAATGATTCTTTTGGCATGTCTTAGATGTTAGATTATGTTTAATCAATGCATGTATATGCATTTCTATGAGTTCATATTCTTTCTTCTTTATGAACTAGCATTTACTCGAGGGAACTCTGCTCCATCAATGAAAACAGTGATAGCTTCTTTATGCTGCTCGCATGATATAATATAGGAAAAAAGAAATTAGTAATAACTTCTTACATTGGCCTCCTTCAAGTTAACAATCAAGTAATAAACTACCACAGAGCTGACTTATGAAGCAAAAATGATTTTGCTACCAGAGATTTGGTTAGATTTTCTTTTTAAGGCCTCTAACCCTGTCTCATCAAATAAAAGCACATGTGCCTCGACCAAGTTATCAGGCATTCACCTGAATGGTGAATACCCTCCTGCTTGGTTATCCTTTTACTGAATGCTTGTTTTCTCTTGTATGCTTTTGAACATTACAGCCATCTTTCACCTCTAGTTACAAGCAACTATTGCATTTCCACCATCTTTCACTTCTAGTTAAAGACAACCATCAGTTCTACTTGTTTTTCAACCTATGTTTTTCTTCAGACATCAGGTTTTTAGTGGCTCCAAATGCAAATTTTCCTTTTCAAGAACATCAGGCTATTGGAAAAAGTTTTGGATGTGGAGTGTATCTTTGAATTGAATTCAGATTTGCATTGATCCAACTTGAATTCATTATATTTACATGCTTAAACAAAGTGTCCTGGCCTCCTGGGTTATGTTGTGTGTATGTCATATGAAGCTTAGGTCCAATCCAAAGATTCACTTAGATTTGATTGGTTGGTTTTTACTTTTGGAGTCACATACTTGTAAGGGGTAACTGATAAGAACTATCTAGGAAAGCAATACAACTAGAAGCTAAGAGTGTTAGTTGGGAGGCCGTTTTTTGAGAATCTTTTTGTAAACAGTGAATCAAAGTCTGATTTTATAGTGTAAAGTGCTCAGTTTTGTATATTCCCAGTGTCCAGTCTCCAGTTGCGTAGGGGCTTTTTTCCTTTTGGGTTCAATACAATACAACATTTTACCTTCCTCAGAAAAAAAACCACTGAGCATCTATAGTTACTTGATATATCTAGGCAGAATATTCTTATGTATTATGAAAATTGTATGTTCAGCGTTTCTTGAATCGTGTGGTGATGTCACTCTTGTGCCTAATTGGAAGGAAGCTGTGTTTAAGGACTTTCAATGTTTTGATGGTGACTAGGCTAATTATTCCTAGCAATCATAATGCTACTTTAACTGTGAGATTTTCCATTGAGAGGGAAAGTAAGCATTTCAGTATGCCAATTTTAACACAATAAGAAGTTTCTTGTATCTTTTATCGCTTTCTATGTGCATCTGTTTTAAAGGGAAATGCATTTTTTTTGAAAGGTAAGATAAATTTTATTAGACACCAGCAAGCATATGGTACAACAGCTCTTTAGCCTCAAAGAGAACAGCCAGGAAAACAGAACAGATTACAAGCTCCAAAGGGAATGGGATCTTAACAACTCAGACGCATTCTGATTTTTGAAATCAGATTTAACAGATACCCAAGAAATCAGTCTACTAACAGCAGAATGGATTAATCCTTCTGGGAAATACATTAACATGTTTCACTTCTGTTATCAGTGTTTTCTTGTATTTCCTTTCTTCACATTGGGTGAGTAGAACTCAGCACTAATTTGAAAATTTATTCCAATTTGTCTCTTTTGTCTTGGCAGTAAGATCATTTGGAACTGAAGGACGGAAAAAGGATGGTCCACAAGTTCCTCCAAGTGACAAAGTTTATGAGTACATATTATTCCGAGGAAGTGATATTAAGGTACAAGATATAAACATAGGGAAATGTGCTACATAAGTTAAATGGATAGATCAATGCCTATGCATACAGTACCAAAGTTGTGTTTCTTTCACAAGCAGCTAGATAAATTGTAATTTTTTTCATCGGTGTTAAGTTGGATAGTTTCACCTTTGTTTTTGTCAATGTTTTAAAAGTGCAAGGCTCAAAAAAGGCACATGGGTCAATTTGTGCCCGAGGTGTAAGTCGCAAGGTGAGTCGTGCACCTTTTTGAAGCAAGGTGCAAAAATAAAAAATGCTAAAAAATAAAAAAATTCCAGAAAAATTAAAAAAATGCTAAAAAATATTAAACATAATATTAATAAAAAATAGAAACTTAAATTTTAAAATAAATGTTTTAAAAAACCTATTGTTATAATTAAAATACATAAACATAGCATATAAAGCATATTCAAATGAGAATTTAAAAATAAAATCAAACATATAAAACATTTTCAAGCATGTAAAACCCATAATCTCTCTCTCTCTCTCTCTCTCTCTCTCTCTCTTTTCCCCTCAATTGTATTACTTCAAGTAGCTAATGTGATGTAAAACATATTACATTCTTGATTCTATGAGCCACCTTTGTGCTACGCTCTGAGAACCCCTTATTTGGTAATGCTGTTCATTCATTCATTCTAATAAAATATCTTATTAAAAAGCAATTAAAATTATAAAATCATTATTTTTTTTTGTGTGAGAACTAAGAATTTAAGACCCTAACATGGACTTGTTTGGGCTTGCCTTGAGGGGTGTGGCACGGGGGTCCCGGGGTGGAGCCCCCGGCCCAGCTGCTAGGTTCAAAGAAAGTAAAAAAAGCGTCAAATTTTCAAAAGCCGCATGCCTGGACTGAGGCGCAAGGCGCATCAGCATGCACCTTTTGAAAGGGCTGCGCCTAGGACCTAGGCAAGGGCATTACCCTAAAATATGCCTTGCTTGTGCGCCTAGGTGCACCTTTTAAATCACTGTTTTTTGTAAACAGAATGAGCTTGTCTTACATTGTTAGAAGTAACTAGATAAATTTTAATGTTGTTTTGATCGGTGTTAAGTTGGATAATTTCACCTATGATTTTTGTCAATACAATGAACTTGTCTTACATTGCCAGTCTCAATCCTGGATAAAGGAGGAGGTTTATGTCAGTTCAGCAGGCATAAAACTTTTGTCAAACTCTTATGGTCATGGATCCTATGCCAAAACAGTATTCATGTAGCCAACCCCATATAGTTGGGATAAGGGTTAGATGATGATGATGAAGATTTTTTTTTTTGGGTGTAAATGGAGTAGCCGTGAAGCACTAAAGTTGTTGGCAATTAACTGAACTTAACAAAGATGACTATTCTCAGCAAATACTTTCTTTCCTAAATAAATTGAATAGGGGTATTTTAGAAGAGAACATATTTTGTAGTAAAATGTAATGTCTAGGTTTACTCTTAATGTTCTTTGATATATCACTTTTTTCTACAAAACTAATGGCTGCTTCAAGAAAAGAATGCTCAATTGGGAAATTTTAGCATTGAACCCTAAGGCTTAAACTCATGGTGAGGATCTTTTCTGAAATGTTAGGGTTCTCAAAAATGGTTAAATGGTTGTCCTTGTATGCCTTCAATCAGGAGTGGTGTTTTCTCTTTATCTCCTGTATTAACTTCCATCATATGAGATAGAGACTGAAAAGTTTCAGTATGATTGCAGGATTTACAGGTTAAATCTTCTCCACCTGTTCAGAGTACACAACCCATACACAATGATCCTGCCATTATACAGGTTAAATATGTCTTTTTTGTATGTGGCACATTTAATCATTATACTTCATTATTTTGATAGTCGATGCATTAAATTATATTACATATCAAAAGCCTTGCTATCCAAGATATGAGATAGTAAGAACAAGCAAAAAATAGCTTACAGCTGGTTATTAACTTATAGAATTTCTTATGCAGTCTCACTACCCTCACCCAGCATCTGTTTCTACAAGCTTGCCTTCTGCTGCGGCTGGTGGGCCTGTAACAGATCTTAATTCCCACACAGCACAGATGGGACTTCCTAGGTCAACGTTCCAAGGTGGCCTGCCTTTATATCAGCCTGGAGGGAGTTTGGGATCATGGGGGTCTTCAGGTCCTCCTCCAAGTGCAAATGGTAGTGGTTTACCTATGCCTATGTATTGGCAAGGATACTATGGACCTTCCAGTGGGCTTCCTCATGTGCCACAACAATCTATGCCACGACCTCCTCCTGGCTTGTCAGTGCCTCCTTCCCTGCAGCAACCAATGCAATATCCTGGAATGAATGCATCATTGCCCACAGGAGTGTCAAATTTGCCATCATTACCAGCAGGAGCTGCAAACTTACCAGAGTTCCCCTCTCCCTTGCTTCCACCTGTTAGTTCCAGCTCTGTAAACTTAACTTCTTCACTACCTTCATCTACTTTGGCACCATCTTTGCCTCCTGCCCAGTCTATTGCATTAAGTTCTGAAGCAACACCAAGTTTGATATCAAATAAGGCCCCTTCTCCTGCTCTTCCTATGGTGTCTCTGAATGCCAGTTTGCCTCTGGTTTCTCCTTTGACTACTACCAATCTGGATATAAATGCCATTGTACCATCAATCTCCAACAAACCTAAGGCAGCTCCTGGTCCAACATTGCCATATCAAACTATGCCCCAGTCGGTTTCGTCTTTAGTTGGGACATCCAGTTCAAGTCAGTCTGAAACATCAACACCTTCCTTGGTAACCCCAGGTCAGCTGTTGCAGCCTGGACCAACATCAATATCTTTGTCTCAGTCTTGTCAAATCACTCAAAAAGATGTGGAGGTAGTTCAAGCATCCCAATCAGAAATAGTGGCTCCAGCACCAACATCAGCTCAAGCACCAACCCCAGCACCTGCACCAGTAGAAGTGAAGGCACCAATATTGCCTTTACCTAAATCTGATCAAAAGGTACTGTGGTCATATCTGAATTCTCTTTGGTAAAATATCCATTATCATCTCAAATGGAATTTATTTTAGGTAATTACCTTGAAGACAGGAAGAGTTAATTATAAGTTTATAACTTAAAGAGATTTCTTAAATTTTCTTAAGAATGAATGTTTCATGTTCAATAACCATTTTTTTGGTAAACTAAGCTTTCTCTGAAGGCACCGGCCAGTGAATTAATCTTTAAAAGCTCTACAACTGAAAAAGACACAGAAAAATGAGGAATAAAGAGGCTTTAGTTCTGGGCTTCTTTCTATCTTAGATGTGGGTTCAAGTAGTTAATCTATAGGAGTTGGTCCAATATGTCTTCCCTTTTTCCCACACCATATCACAAATTAGAGTTAAAGTCCAAAAGACAAAGTGATAGGAAGAAGTAGCGGATTAGTGGTGAACATTCCATTAATAAATGTTAAAGACCTCTGTCATTGTTTTAGTTCTTACACTTCAAGAATGTTCTTGTCAACCCACCTAGGGGAGTAGCTGACTTAATAGTTAACGTTCCATGCATTACTATATCTTCACAGTTGGATGGTATACACACATTTGAAAGTGAAACTAAAGGGATGAGTTCAATGGGTATTGTGTCCCTAAGTTTATCAATGTTCCAAGTTCTAATCTCTTTGTTGATCAATTCTTCCACTTTGAGATTTGGATTTTGAATTGTGGTCCATTGATCAAGAAGGGGATTAATAAGAGGACCAGAGTTAGTCCAATTATCAGTCCAAAAATGGATTAACTCACCATTACCTACTCTCCATTTAAACCCTCTCACAATAAGGTCTCTAACACTTGGGATACCTTTCCCGCATAACAAGTCACTCTTTGTGGGTTTACAGCCTAAAAAATGTTCTCTCTTCAAATATCTAGCCTATCTCAATGGTGTACCAAGAGTTCAACTAATCTAGTCCATCCATATTTCCTCAATTACTTGTCAAAAAAAGAGATGTTCCAAATAAATCCAAAGATCCAAGTCATCTAAGTGGCACACTGTTAAAGCAGTCTCCTAGAGCAGTGGGTTAATATCATCCATCAAGTGATTCGTTGATATTTTAGCCATAATCAAACATATTCCAAAATTAAGTTGCTACATTATTTGGACGGCTCTTACTGATTGGGCAAAGACTTATATTCCTTGTGTATTTTCTTTTATTTTGGTACAATTTACTCAATCATTGATGATTGACCTCCCAATGATGATAGTGATGATGATGGTTCAAGAGAAAAGGAGTTGGATTTCATTTGTACTTTTTCTCTAATCACACGTTACCTCTTTTGTACTTGGAATCTTGGATTTTGTTGGAATGTACACTTATGCATTACCAAGCAACCTACCATGCAATGTGCATTTTAAGAATTAATTTATTGATGTCTCTTGGTTATTAAATTTTAATTAGGATATAGTCTGTTAGAAGATGTCTTTTATCACCTGACTTATTCAATAATGTTATGTATTGGAACTTCTGTATGAGCCATATGGCCTTTGTCAACTTCAAATTTCTGGTGTTTTGACATTTTTCATTTGTAATAATGAGAAATGGTTTTCAGAATCTATTTGATGGAATCATTTTTAGGGTTGTGATGATGATTTGGTTAATTAGCTATAGTAGAAGATGTTTTTTTGACTTCTAGTCCATAAAATGAATTGGAACTGTTATATGAGCTAAGGCTTTTCAATCATTTTTATATTTTACATAGATTCCATTTCATGCTTAACTTGCTTTTGGCATTCTTTGTTTTGTAATGAAAACCAATATCATGTTTGAGTTGTTTTAGTGTTAGAGTCATACATATCATTTCATGCTTAGTGTTTTTTTGACTTCTTCAATTTCCTAGCTTGTTATATTTTAATCTTTCTTGCTTATGAGGATTCTAAATTATGACTTTTCACTTCTTGTAGCTAAATGGAACTCCACAGACTCGTCCTACAAATAGGGGCCGTGAGAGAGGAAGAGGAAATGGGGTAATATGTTGCTTCCTTTTGTTTTTCCATTCCCTTTAGGAAGTTGAGTTTTAATTGGCTTAAAACTATCCCCCCCAAAAAAAAGCTTGGGCCAATGAATTATCAAATCCGTACTGTTTTTTAGTTTCATATAGGCACATAATCACCATTATTCTGTAGTTCTGCAGGTTCCAATTGTTCTTGCTTCTGTTCTTGTTTCCTTTTTCTTTCATTTCAGTGAACGGCAGAGATCTTTTATTTTGATGGTAGAATTTCATGTCTAGCTGACCCTATATACTTGGGATAAGGCTTAAATGATGATAATGGATAGAGTTTCTAGTCTCCAGATGGGCTACCCATAGTTTATGTTACTCTGATAATAACATGCAAAACTGTAAATGCACAGATCAATGTTATTGCATTATGATGCAGTTGTTCTTTTTCCCCAACTGTGAATGTTGAGGGGCCTGGATTGCCCCTCTAAAAGAAGGGACAATCACCCCGCAAATGTTACCTTCCTCATCCCTAATCACCCCACCAATTCTAGAGGGGCCTGGATTGCCCACACAACTCCCATCAAAATTTAGTTTCAACCAGCCACTAGGTAGAGGTGACCAATCCGCTGCTGCAATCTGTCTTCTAGAAGAAGAGGCAGCTATAGCCGCCCAAGTTCTGAAAAAATCATCTACCTTAAAGTCTGAGAAAAGAACCAAGGTCTTGACCCATTGTGCTACTCTAAGGCTGTGTTTGGTTTGAAGGAAAAGGTAGGGAAACCTTTACAAACCTTGTATAGCCTAAGGGTTATGACCTCAATCAATGCCTCCATATTTCTTTCGTTTTCCCCAATATTCTAGAGTTTCTTTCCTCCCAAACTGTCCAAACCACTGCTGCCCTTGTACATTTCCATATCTATCTGCCCCTCCTAGTAAGACAGCTACAAACAGAAGGGCTAAACAACTCTCCCAAGTTAACAGGGGGAAGCCAACTGTAACCAAAATGTGAAGTGAACCAGTTCCAGATAAAACCAACAAAAGTGCAAAAAAGCATTAGGTGATGGATTTTTGGGTTGTAGCTAAGTGTCCCAAACAGGATGGAAAAAGGTTTTATGTCTTTTATGTAGAGCAAGAAAGCATTAGGTTGTTATTCTTCACTCCTCAAGTATAAGAGGGGCACATGAGGGAAAAAGGTATTGATTTTTTTTTCATCTGTTGGAGCATGTCAGCAAAATTGTTGATTATACTGAGTACAATTTTCCAATAAAACCCTTTATCTTTGGAGGAATATGACCATCATGTGATGCCTTTATTTGGAAAAGTCTAGGAGTAGAGGAGGGGATGCATCCAAATTTTTGAGGAAGAGGGAATAATAAAGGACTCATGATATATCCATAGACTATACCCTTTAATCCAAATCTGTCACCTAGGAAGAAAACATCAATCTAATTAACTTGTGTCTAGCCGCATTTGAAATATCTAAGGTCTCCTCCTCTAAAACCTTGATCTGAAAATATTCCTGTGGAAAAAAGGAAGCCAAAACGTGAACCTGTCTATTTTTACAAGGGGAAATGAAGTATCTAGGGAAATTAGAACATAGCGGTCTATCTTCCCACAAGATATCTTTCCAAAACCAGATCTTGGTCCCAGTGATATTACTATACATAACACGAAAAAAAGAAAAAAAGGATAGTTTGCCCAAGTACTTTCCGAGGGCATTGGAGGGTAACCCAACTAGAAGATCTTGAGTTCCATTGGTGATCATGCTTGCTTCTCGCCAAAAGTATTATTGGGAATTTCCGTAATAGCTTACATACCTAGTCAACCTATAATTTTCTAACTTCCTAATTTCAATCCCCCATCCATCTTCCAAATATTAGATCAATTTCACAACCATCATCTATTTTAGGCTGGTATTGAAATATTGAATATGATTAAAGGTGCTCTTACATTAAAATATTTTCGAAAGGGGAGTAAATTAGAGAGGTAGAGGAACTTCTCTCTAAAAGATATTTACAAAGATAGCTAGAAAATATAGCCTTGCAACAAAAATTAGTTAACCTCCGATTTCATGTTTTGCCATATCCATTGTTAAATTGTGAGCACTTAAATTGTTTCTTACTCATTTGACCCATGTCCTTTTTTGTCTGCCCTTAGCCCTTCTAGCCACCTCAACTTGTAACCTCCCCCTCCCCCTCCACACACAAACACCAAAAAAAGAAAAATACACACACAATGACAAAAAAGGATGTAACAGAATCAAATTTCCTTGAAATCCTTAGGAATAGAAGGAAAAGAAGGGTGATTAGGGAAGTTTTTAGGAAAGAGAAATTGGATACTGTGTTAATTCAAGAATCAAAGGAGACATGGTTGGATAGAAGACGGGTGAGGATTGTGTGGTCAGCTAGAGGTTTAAGTTGGGCTTTTGCACAATCATGCGGAGCTTCATGGGGGCATCATAACAATTTGGAAGAATGAGGAGATGGAATGTACCAAATAATTAGCATTGGGAGGGAGGAGCATTGGAAGGAATTAGCAGCTATAAGGGAAAGGGAAAGGGATGAGTGTTGGGAGGAATTAGCAGCTATAAAGGGTCTGGAGTGGTCCTTGGTGTTTGGGGGGTGATTTTAATGTCATTAGATGAATGGAACAACCAATCCTGACCATAGGGTTACCTCTAGCATGAAGAAGTTCAACCTTCTTATGGATTCCTTTGAGTTGAGAGAGCTGCCCACATTGCAAGCAAATTTCACTTGCGCCAATTTTCAAGAACCCCTTTGTTGTAAACTAGATAGATTCTTATTCTCTTCAAATTGGGAGAATGCTTGGAGGGTATTGGTGGTAAGGGCTCTTCCTAGATAAACTTCATGTCATTGTCTAATTAGGCTTTCACAAGGAAAAAAAAGGAGGACCTTGTCCTTTTCGATTTGAGAACATGTGGTTGCTTCATGCCTTCATCCTGATTTTATAAAGAAAGTAGTCAGTACAATATCGGTGGGAAGAACATTAGGTGGAAAGGGTATATGTTCTATAAAAAGCTACAAGATTTGAAAGCCAGGTTCAATGAGTGGGACAAAGAGGAGTTTGGGAGAGTGCAAGAAAGAAAGGTGTGGATTCAAGAAATTGATATAGGGGAAGCAGAGAGAAGATTCAGGGTAAGAAAAAGGGAAGAAAGATGCAAATTGAAACAAGAATTAGAGGAAATCATTAGAAGAGAGGAGGTAAGTTTGAGACCAAAGTCTAGATGTAAATGGCTAAGGGAGGGAGATGGGAACGCCAAATTCTTTGATATCCTGGCAAATGGAAGAAAGAGGAAGAACGTTGTGGAGAGGCTGGAATGGAATGGAGAGTAGGAGAAGTGCTTGCAAGAGAGGAAGAGATAGTAAGAGCTTTTGTGGATCATTTTAGAACCACTTATGACATCCCAAGTAGAATGACAGAGGATATTTATGATTTTGAGTGACAATCTAGGAGTAGAGAACTTATGGAAGAATTAGAAAGAAATTTTGAGGGCTAAGAAGTAAAAGATGATGGGTTTTTGATGGAAAGATCTAACGTCTTGGGTCCAAATGACTTCATAATGGCCTATTACTAAGATTGTTGGGAAGCATAGCTGGTGACTTGATGGAGATGGAGGTATTCTTAGAATTCTTTGAGAGAGGCAAGATTAATTCAGGTGCTAATGCTACCTTTATACCTTTGATTCCCCAAAAGGTGGATGCAAATCACCCCAAGGATTTTAGACCCATTAGCCTGATTGGTAGAATGTATAAGGTCATCTCTAAGATTTTAGCCTTGAGGATAAAAAAGGTACTTCCATCCCTAATTTCTATGGACCAAAGAGCATTTTTGTCCGGAAGGTAAATTACCGATCAAATCCTTTTTGCCAATGGGTGTGTTGATTATAGAAAAAGACAAGGAGAAAAGGGACTGAGAGATAGAGAGAGCAACATTGTTTTCAGGCCCTGTGGGAATAGGAGACTCAAATAGATCAGAGATCTTAGCGGCTGTATAAGGCATCCAGATTGCTGAACAGTTAGGAGTTCAACACTTGATAGTTGAAGGAGACTCTAAAATTGTTGTGGGATGGCTGACAAAGCCAGCTTCAGCTATGTGGCGATATAGAGATTTATTGAGGAAAGTCGATTGGCTCACAAGAAATATGACAGTTACCTCTCTTTGGGTAGAAAGATCAGCAAATTCCTTAGCGGATGGACTAGCTAAGCAAGGGGTTTCAAGGGATCATTTGTTTTGGGCTGCTATGTAGTTTTATTTCTGTTTATTTCTGCTTATCCGATTCTTAATTGATGTAATACTTTGTTAGAAGAGGTAACAGCTCGTGCCTCTTCATGGTTTCCTGTATTGCCTTATATTCTGATTTAATAAATTATTTTCATTCATCAAAAAAGAAAAGGGACTGATTTGCAAACTTGACTTGGAAAAGTCTCGTGATTTGGTGGACTAGGGTTTTTTGTTTGAAGTTTTGAAAAGTAGAGGTTTTGGAGAAAGATGTAGATAGGCCAAGGTTCTGTGTCTACTTGCCACTACTCCATTTTGCTAAATGGTGTAGCCAGGGGTCTTTTCCCTGCAAAGAGAGGTGTTTGAGACAAGGGGACCCCCTCTCCTCCTTCCTTTTTCACCTTGATAGTGGATGTTCTGAGTGTCATGATCTCTAGAGCTAGACTCTAGAAATCTTATTGGAGGGTGTATAGTAGGAAGGCAAGAAGTAGTTCTGTAGTTGTCACCCATTTACAATTTGCAGATGATTTAATTATCTTTTGTGAGGGAGAGCCAGAGGAGATCGTTAATATCAAAGTGATGGTAGAATTTTAGAAGGTCTCTAACTTGAGAGTACATTGGAATAAAAGGTATGTAGTTGGGATTAATAGGCTAGAAGATGAGGTGTCTTCCTTGACTAGAACTTTAGGTTGTGGGGTAGGTAAGTGGCCTTTAAAGTATTTAGGCATACCATTTGGAGTAAACCCAAGGATACAAAGTTTCTGGTACCTAGTTTTGGAAAGATTCACT